GGGCTTGGCCACGCCCCCCTCAGCTCAGCACTATTCAAGGGAAGGGAGGGCTGCTCTAGCACTCCCTGGCTTCTATCCTGAGTCACTGCAGACATAGGCCTGAATCTTCTGAGTTCAGAGAAAATGTCCGTCCAGTTTCACATCAGTTCAGCCTAATCAGGTTAGACTAACCTGCTAAGATTAAATCAATTCAGGCTCAGGCTTTTTGAATGTCTGTCCCTAGCTCCTATGTTGAATGAGCAGCTTAGTGCTGTGCTCCTGGCTGAGCTCCAGTTGTTTCCCGCCTACCTACCTGGAGCTCTGCCCCACTGGTCCATTGCTCTGGTTGAACGGTTATAATCAAGGTTGAACGGTTATAAACTCCAGCAAGACAGTTTCAGGCTGGGCATAAGGAAGAATTTCTTTACTGTCCGAGCCCCCAAGGTCTGGAATAGCCTACCATCGGAGGTGGTTTAAGCACCCACACTGAACGCCTTCAAGAGAAATGTGGATGCTTATCTTGCTGGGATCCTATGACCCCAGCTGACTTCCTGCCCTTTGGGCAGGGGGCTGGACCTGATGATCTTCCAAGGTCCCTTCCAGCCCTAGAGTCTATGAAATCTGCACCCAGCTTCCAGGTAGTTACTTGCAGCCCTTTAAGCTACCTGTCTGTTCTCCTGCAGCTGGCCCAGGTTCAGTTGCCTGCCTCTGGACCCGATCTCTTATACGCCCCACCTTAAAGCAACAAGATCCTCTGGCTCCCTGTTACAGATGCAACATACGCATTTTTTGGAGAAGATAGAAAAAGTTCCAAGAATTGTAAAGGAGGTAAAGACCTGGCTGCAGAAGAGATGACAACGGGTTACACGATGGAAGGAGGACTACCAGGCTGGAAGGAGGTGACTAGTTAAGCCTCTCAAGGATTGGCCCTGGGATCAATCTTACTTAATAATTTCATTCCTGTCCTTGACACAAACACGTCAGACCACTCTACTGATGTTTTCTGAAATCACCAAGCTGGGAAGCATCATCAATACAGCGGAGGACTGAAACATCATACATGAGGAGCTGGGAAAGCCTGAGGACTGGGGTAATAGAAATGGGACAACCTGTAAAAAGCCATTTACTTAGGGATGAATGGGAAGAACTTGCGCTATAGGCTGGGACTTCACTGGGTAGAAGAAACAACTGAGGCGGAAAGAGAAACGGTGTCACAGGGTGGCTGAGAACTGCCAGTGCGATGTGGCTGCAGAAACACTTTTTGATGATTGTGTTTCACTGGATGCAAGGCTGGAAGGGGCCCCAGGTGGTCACTTAATCCAACCCCTTGCTCAAAGCAGGGTCATCCCCATTTGAATGATCCCAGCTAAGTCCTTCTCTAACCTATGCCTAAAATTACACAGTCAACCCTTTTGCACAACTACAAGGTCCACTGCCCAGAAAACATCAAAAACACCCTTATCTGGCCCAACTAAAGCAGGGGGCAAGATATTTGGTGTCCTGCCACTGCAGCAGTGGTTAAAATGCACTTGAGAAATTCAAGGGAAAGGGCCATGCCTCCTGGGACAGGGGAAGGCAAAACAAAACAAACAAACAAAGAAAACTAAAATAAAATAAAAACCAAAACCAAACCAAAAAACAAGCCTAAAACAACCCCCCATTTCATACTGTTCTGGTGTGTGGTAAAATTCCTCCTGACTGCAAACGTGGTGATCAGTCTGACCCTGAGCTTGGAGCCTGAGTTTCAGTCCGAGAAGCAGCACTGGCACAGCCCAGGCAAAAAACTCCAGCCTTGGCTGCAACCAACACACAATGCTTTTGAGGAAGGCAATCATCATCATCGTATATTAATGTATTAAAATATGAGTGCATCATATTAATAGCACGATTTAATAAATCATTATCATTAAAATATTATAATGATATTCCTATTTCCATTTAAATATTTTTATTACTACAATATCATTATATAGTATATTGAGATAATATTCGTGTAATATTATGCATTCATATTCTAATATATTTGTATAGTATATTTCTATTTCATTATTATTAATATACTAAAGTATATTGATATTTTAATATATGGCTATTTTAATAATATATCATTATGCAATACGTAATTGTATGCTACATCATATTATTGTTGTTGTTGTTATTACCATCACTATAATAGAAGAAGAGGAGGAGGAAGAAGAGGAAGAGGAGTTAGAAGGAGAACAAAGAGGAGGAGGAGGAAGAATCCCTGATACCTGTAGCAAGAGATACAGTCCTTGGGCAGACCTTTGAGAAAATTATCCAGGAGCACATCTGCGAGGGCTGAGCAGGGGAGGTAATGCTCAGGGACACCCAACACAGGCTCACTGTGGGCAGGTCCAGCCTGACTAACCTGATTTCCTTTTACGGTCAGGTCACAAAGTCCCTGGACGAGGGCATCGAGGTGGATGTCGTCTTCCTGGACTTTAAGAAGGACTTTGATACGGTTCCTCACCACATTCTCTCAAAAATACTAGGAGACTAGAGCACCGATGCCCACAGTCAGATGGGCGGCAAATTGGCCAGATGGTCGCACCCAGAGAGTGGTGGTGGATGGGTCGTTTTTGACCTGGAGGGATGTGGGCAGTGGAGTCCCCCAGGGCTCGGTCCTGGGGCCTGTGCCATTCAACATCTTCACCAGCGATCTGGATGTAGGTGTGGAAAGCTCGCTGTCCAAATTCACCAATGATACCAAGTCGTGGGACGAGGTGGGCATGCTGGAGAGGAGGGACAGAATCCAGCTAGATCTAGACAGGTTGCAGAGATGGGCAGATGAGAAGAGGATGGAGTTCAACACTGACAAGTACAAGGTGCTGCATCTAGGGAGAAGGAACCAGCAACACACCTATAGGCTGGGGAACTCCCTTCTTGTCAACACGGCGGCAGAAAGGGATCTTGGAGTCATTGCTGACTCCAGGACGAACACGAGCCACCAATGTGGGGACGCAGTCAGGAAAGCCAACTACACCTTGTCGTGCATCCACAGATGCATCTCGAGCAGGTCCAGGGAGGTGATCCTCCCCCTCTATGCAGTTCTGGTCAGGCCGCAGCTGGAGTACTGCATCCAGTTCAGGAGGGATATGGCCAACATGGAGAGGGTCCAGAGGAGGCCACTCGCATGGTCAGGGGGCAGCAGGGCAGGCCCTACGAGGAGAGGCGATGGGACCTGAACCTGTTCAGCCTCCACCAGAGAAGGCTGACGGGGGATCTAGTGGCCTGTTACAAACTAGTCAGAGGGGACCAGTGGGAATTGGGGGAGGCTCTGCTCCCTGGGCACCACCTGGGATTACTAGGAATAACGGCCGCACATCGTCAGAGAGCAAGGAGGTTCAGGCTGGACATCAGGAGACATTGCTTTACGGTTAGGGCTGCCGGGCTCTGGACTGGGCTCCCTAGGGAGGTGGTGCTCTCTCCTACCCTGGGGGTCTTCAAGAGGGGGCTGGGGGCAGGGGGTCGCACCTGATGATCTGTTTAGGTCCCTCCCGACCCTAAGCACTATTAAACTAAGATAAGGTAAAAAAAAAGTATTACAAGGAGAGAGAGGGGAGTATCACTGCAATTGTAAAAAGCACTGGTGACCCCTCAGCTGGAACACGTGGTACGGTCCTGGAGAATTAAGGGATTTGAGAAACCATTTTACAAAAAGGCCAAAGATCTTGGCTTGTTTAGCCTACAAAGATGAAGGTGGAGAGGGGGGATGGCCGGCCTCCATTTAAACACATCCAGGCAGCACCAGGGAAAGGATCAGTTCAAGCTGAAGGACAACAGTGGCACCAGAGCAAACAGGTACGAAATTAGAGAAGGTCCCTTGCTCCCAGAGCCACGATGTTCTGGAGCGGCGGGTGAAGTGCCCAGCTAGTCGTGCGAGGGAGCTGGTCAGCGCACGGGGGCACGTGGCACAGCTGCCTGAAAGAACCGGGGACTGGGCTGGATGAGAGGACACTTCCAGCCCCCCATTCCCGCACTCGTGCAACTGGACACAACATCCCCATAACAGCAGAGCCACATCCGGGCACATGAGTACTACTCCTATCCCTTAATTCATTACCAGGCCCCAAAGCGCCTTTCTAGGAGTGTGACCAGCATCTGCCTAATGGGTCCACAGGTGCCAGAGTCATCCTGCTAACTCTTTCAGTTATTAGCACAACACTGGCTTTTTCCAAACTCCTGGATCTTCCCCAGTGTGCCAAGATGTGGTAAAAGTAAAACTAAATGTCAAACCAAACCAAACAAGCATTTGTGGCTCAGGGGGTTCCTTGGCCAATTCTTTTAATACTCTCATGTGCAAGTTACCCGCTCCCACTGGCTGAGGAATGTTTTTCTTCAATCTTTGCTGTTTATCTGCTTTGCTGCCTTGTGATGGACCAGAAGAGTTTCATGGTCACTGTAAGATCCCACCTCTCTGTTTCCAAACTCAGAAGAAAAACAGTCATGGGACACTTGTATTTCACTGCACCTTAATGGGCAATGCTGTGATTCTTGTCCCGTGCTGCACCTAGTCCAGTATTAGGATTTTCTCCATTCCTGAAACTGAGTTCTTTTTAGGCCCTCTAAAAGCTTGTACTTAAAAGACTTCCAATGACTTCAAAGGGCTAAGGATTAGGCCCAAAAGCATCGGAAAGTGGCTGTTAAACTTAGGAAAGTTCATCTCGGGGCTTTCCAAGCATGCACAATCTCAGCCCAACCGGACTTTATTGCAGAGAACTCTACGCAAGAGCAAAAAGGGGAGGCTGTAGCCGAGTGATGCCGTGCACAACCCACCCTTGCACCGACCCATCGGAGTACACAAGCAGCAGACCGGCACTGCAGAAGAGCCGGGCAGTCCGTCTTCGTCTCGTTGTGGCAGCGAAGCAGGGAAAGAAGCTGCTTTATTCTGACAAATCTAAACAAGTATTTGACTAAGCAACTGCATCGTTATTTCATGTGTTAATTGGCTGTTTCTCCATCCTGTATTGCCTCACATTAATAAACCTTGTTGTTTAGGCTACACAGGATAAGAGTCTAGATAAGTGTTTACTGGTCATTAAGCACTGAACTTTAAGCTAATAAATAAAGTATCCAACTGAATATAAGGCCATTTCTTTTAGGAGAACCACATCTTAGCCCTCCAGAAAGGATTACTGGTTAATAGCCTAACCAGAGTATGCACAGAGGGCCTAGAGTAACGACTGCTAGAGACCTTAACCTGATCTATGAATTACAGTGTTAAGCAGTTTCTGCACGTAATTATCGCTGATCATTTTAATTAATCCAGGAAGGGCTTAAGGAAATGTAGTGCATCTTTTTGACTTTTCAAGAAGACAGATCAAACATCTCACCAAGAGAACTGGGGGGAAAAAAGTAAAAATAAATAAAGCAGACTTCCTTTTAACTAAAAAGCATAAAATTATTTAACAGGCTTTTTCTGAATGAAAGAAAAAAAATATTTTTTTCAGAGCTTTTTTTTTCCTAGCACAGCATCATTAATTTAGGAAGTCATTTTTTCCCCTCTTAACTCTCTGTGTATAAAAAAAGATCCTATCAAATCTGCATTGTGAGATCAAGAAAGTTTACAGGTTTTATAAGCTATCTTTTCTACACCAGAGGATTTTATGGGTCTCTCGGTCCCGATGTTCTTAACTCAGCAACGTGAGCGTTTTAGATAGGAGACATACTTAAAGCTTTGGCAAAGAAGAGAAGTTTAGATTTAATTGCTCCATCAAAAATTGATCAAGGATGTTTCAGTTGCAAGGTCTCGGTACGTGAATTCACTACACAACAACCTTATACCGGGATACCAGAAAGCCCCCTGACTCTTTGTACACTCTCTTTGCCAGTATAAAGATGAGCTTTACCCAGGCGTGATATGCTAAAATAACACAGCTTGGATCTGAGATCATTATGGTTATTTCATAACTCAATTACAGCCAAGGCCACAGCCTAGTTTTGTGCGGTGTCATGTAAGTACCGACAACAGCACTTTCTGCCTGGAAGTGTTTTTGCTCCAAGGCCCTTGCTCTGCAAACATCACTCAGGTGTTCAATGTGCACATGTTATCATGCGATCAGGCCCATGCAACCAAAGCTTGGCCTATAGATGTGCTCCTGGATAATTTTCTCAAAGGTCTGCCCAAAGACCAAGGACTGTATCTATATCTTCCCAAGGACTATATCTGTTGCTACAAGTATCAGGGATTCTTCCTCCTCCTCTTCCTCTTCGTTCTCCTTCTAACTCCTCTTCTTCCTCCTCCTCTTCTTCTATTATAGTGATAGTAATAACAACAACAACATGATGTAGCATACAATTACATACTGCATAATGATATTCCTTATGTTTAGATGTCATCGATTCTGGGAGAGGGAACATAGCTACTTGATGCTGACCTTAGCCCTCAATGGGATACCTCACTGGCTAGGGACAGAAGTTACATATAAACCGGTTTAAGTGATCAAAAACTGGTTTAAACCTGTAACAGAACAGAAGTTCAGTAAACATAAACTGGTTTAAAAATGGCTGAAACTGATTTAAGACAGACCTGGTTGAATGTCAGACTTAACAGGTTCAGGTCAATCCGGTTTATGGAACTTCTGTCCCAGACCCCTTCCTTGCTCAAGTTAAATCAGAGTCCCCCAGCATCCCAGCATGCTTTGCAGCCCTGGGCTACGCTGTACTGTCTGCTCAAGTACAGCAGGGCTGGCCTCACCCCTCTGCTCCCTCGCCGGAGCAGGGAGGGCTGGCTAACAAGGGGGTGGGGGTGGGAAACCCAGCTGGCACAGCCTGGTCTCCTGGAGGGGAAGGGACACCCCGCTGGAGTGGCTCTGGCCATGCCCCCCCACCACACAAGTGACCAGTGGTGTGGAAAGCTGGGCAGACCCCGTCTGTGGTCTGGGAGAGAGGGGTGACAGGGGAGTTTATTCTCCCTCCCTCCCTCCTCCACTTCACGCAAGGTGCTGCCGGGCTGACTATGGCCATGCCCCAGCCCCTCCTCCAGGGACAAACCTGGCAAGGGCTGCTTCCCCCTTGCCCCTCCAGGCACACCCTGCCTGGGGTCCCTGCAGGCCAGGGTGGGGGTTTAAACCCCTCCCCAATCATACTCAGCAGCCTGCTGGGACCTAGCCATGCACCCCCACCCCACCCCAAGCTCAGCTGCCCTCCAGCCTTGCAGCTGCTGCAGAAGGGAAGGGAGGGCTGCTCTCATGCCCCCTGTCTTCTGGCCTTGGCCACTGCAGGCATATGCCTACATTTCTGAAACTAAAAGTAAATGTCTGTTCACTTGCAAATCAGGTCAATCTATGCAGGTTAGACTAACCTACAAAGTTTGAATCCATTCAGGCTTGGACATTTTGAATGTCTGTACTTAGCCACTGAGGACCACCATCCCTGGGGTCTGTGCTGGCAGGCTGCGAGACCACCCATCTCTCACCTTATCTGAGCAAGATGCACAACTCTGATCCCTTGCCTTTATATCACCACCGCTGAACTTGGGCTCTGTGTGCATACTCAGTACCCAATGCATCAGCATTCACATGTGCCCAGGCCCAGATCAGCCACAACCTCCAACTAGGGTAGGACTCATTCAGACAAGAGGAGCCCAATGCAGCCAGGGGACCATAAGTCCTTATCCAGGACCGGGCGGGAGCGCCCTTCAAGAAGGCATTTCCCAAGCCACAGGACGAGGGCACACGTCAAGTGAGGGGTATCCGAGCCACAGGGCAAGTTAAAAGATGGCACAAAAATCTTGCTTTGCAGTTTTGCTTTCACCAAGACTTTTGCTATTGCAGAGCCCAGAATATTCCAGTTTCTCACAGATCTGCTGATGTAGGAAGTCTGACAAAATTAATACCCGGAGAACTGCAGGGAAAATGGTGGCAAAGCTGTTATAGACTTCTGTGGTGCAAAGGACTCGGTCCAACTCCTTGTTTGGCAAAACCACTCCGAATTAGGAAGAGTCTTGAAGCTGGGAAACCTGCGCAGTAGAAAATAAATGACTTCCACTGCTCAGCAGACCAGAGGCTCTTTATAAAAACCTTTTCAAAAGGCTGCTTTCTCTTTCAAGCACCTCAGAGTTACTTCAGCTCACCAAGTTGTTCCTTCCCAGTGTTTCTGAAGTAATTTTGTTTGGGAAAGAAACAGCAACAGCCCACCCCCCTCCCCACATACAAACCTCCCCACAGGTTCAGTCCCGGGCCCAGGGGACTCGAAGGATGTTGCTTTGGCTAAACAGAGGAAGGCATGGACCTATTCCACATATCTGGATCGCAATGTGGAAAGTGCTCAGAGACTATCAAATCAGAAAAACAGGGCCAGAAAAGACCTGATGAAGAGGTCATCTAGTCCAGCCACCTGTTCTCAGTGCGGGAACATCCCTGTCCAAGCCATCCCACCGAGGTGCTTACCTGACCAGCACGTGAACATCTACAGCTCCCCAGGTCTCCTGATCTACCACTGAACCCCTCGCGGTTAGAAAATTATTTGTACACGTAGCCTAAATCTCATTTATGGGCAGCAGCAAAACAACCCTGAGAGAAGACAAACGCTCAGTTGAGCTTTCACCCGAGACCAGTCAGGTTCTCTGTTTCCATTCACTCCCCCCTGCCTGTAGCACACTGCAGGACAGTGCAGAGGAAGAGACACATGGGATAGGGAAGACACTTCTTCACCAACTTTTAATCAAATTCCAGAAATAACCACATCTGAAACAACACCAAACACAGGAAACCCAAACACAGCAAAAACACAAGTGATGCCACGCTGCGTCCAACTACTTGCCCATGCAGCCCCGCATCTAACATCGCACCGAGGCAAAGAGCAGACGATAAGGGGATGGGCGGTGAAGCACGGCTTGTCCAGACTGATCTGCCCCTGCCCTCAGGGGCCTGGGAAGTCTGAGTTTGGATGCTGCCACCTTAACCATCATGTTTAACACCCACCAATGGACCAATTCTGCAGGATCATTTTTGAACATGGTTAAATTATCAGCCTTAATTCGGGTGCATAATTCAGGTGCGCAGAGTCTGAGCTTTTTTTTTTTTTTTTTTTAATTCCACTCTGCGGCACGGTCCTGGGGTTGGGAGGAGTATTCAGGCAAAACAAATAGTGCAAAATCCAGAGCTGCACATCTCAGAAGCCCCTATGCAATCCTGACCACGTTTCCTTCCCAAGTCTAGGAGGCCAGGTCCCAGCCGGCACCGCGCACGGGCTGGATTCCCGCTGCCCTTCAACAATGCTTTGCCTGATTAAGACCAGCAGGTTGGAGCTCTGCTCAGGTGTATCACACTCTCCTACGCACGGGCAGCACATCTAGTGCCACTTAAATCTTAATTGATATCTGCATGGCACTCTCTTCCAGTTGCGGTGCTAAGCTCACGAGCATTTGAAATGGCATCTGAGCTCTCCTACACAACACGCTTAGATGAAAGGAGGTGACCAAGGTGCTACCATAATACACATCATATAATCATGACAACAGCGCAATACATGCAACATGCATTAGCGGTATAATATTCAGCCATTAAGTGTCTCCATCTGCCACAGAGAAGGGCACACCAGGTAGAGGGGAGACAACGCTGGAATTCAAGCTGAGCAGAAACCTGTTTATTCGCCTGTTGTTTTCCGTAATCAATACCTCCTGCTTACGGTCTGTGACTCCATATGTCACGACAGTCCATGCATACCTACGTACCAAGACAGCTGAGAAAACAAATGCCCCTCGTTTCCTATGAAACTGCACACAAGGGTGGTTTTAACAGTGTCACCGCCCTTGTTTTAACACACAACCATTTTCTGGGAGCAAAAATGAAAAGGAGAACTCTTTTTAAGCAGATTATGAAATCTGCTCATCATAATAGACATTATTCCTGCTTTCTGTTAACCAACATACATTTCTCACCACTCCAAAAAACTCTTTGGAAACAATACAAATAAAGCCAGAAGCTGTTAAATATTTGTGAAGTCTACAATGCTTTACACCTAGTGACTTCAGCTAGCCGTAGCAAAGCCGGTTATTTACGATCCTTGTTTTTAATGAATGACATGCCCGGTGATTTTAATTTGTTGCACTGGGGATTTTTCAAAGTACTTTTCCCACTCAATACATGTTGGTCTCATTTGGCTGTATTTCAGTGTATATCATTGAAATAAATAGTTGTGTTTTTTTTCATAAGAGGAATAAACATTTGACGCATGCCAGCGCCTGTAGAAAGAGAAAGCCAGACACGCAGCTCTCCTAGACCACCGCGGGCTCGGCAAGTGCTAACATTGCACTGACCCTTCAGGAACCCAATAACCTCCAAAATACCATGGTTGAACATGTATGGCCTTTCCTGTAACTGGACTTGACCTGGGCACCGATCCCCACACCTAGGACATGCCCTTGCTGACCACGACAGGCTGGGAGGGGAAAAAAAGAGGATTGTGAGGGGAAACGAGCAAAAAGGACGGGAAGGGAGAGATGTGCTAGAGCTGCTGTCATGCCCCCTTGTTTGAACAGTCAGGAAATGTGCTCTCGCTGCCAGCACCGCACATAGCGGCATATGGCCAGGACTCAGATTCACTCAGAGATTTCTCATTCTTTACTTACGCTGCTCAGCTATTACTCATATTTGCATGAGAGGAGGGGGGAACAAACACCCAAACCGGGCTGTTTCTCCATGTGAAATATGCACAGCATCCTGTTCATGAATTAAACAGAAATTATTAACTGAACTTCAAAGGTCTGCATTGGGGGTGGGGAGGAATGCCACAGAGAGGATCGCTGCCACTCCGCCGGCTCACAGTTTCGCAGCGTTTAGCTTGGAATAAGAGTGATAATCGGCGTCGCTTTGATTCTTCTTTTTAACGAGGGGAAGAGTGGGAGGAGAATAAACTCTCGCTTGGGCTTTCAAGTAAGGTTTACAGTTGCATGTGCTGGTTGCAAGAGCAAAACTGCCGAGAGTAGCAGCCTGCAAGCCCACATGGAGAAGTTTGGCCCAGCTGGCCAAAAAACATTTTCCAGTCCCCTGGACTTTTTTTTATTTCATTTTGTTTTTATTTGGTTTTGAACCAAATTGAAATCAAAAAGTGTTGACATTTCCAGCGCATTGGGTGCTCCCAAATCTTGCTGCTGTTTGGTGGAGACAATGCTCACATCCATGTCGCAGACAACGGCTGCAGCGAGATGGACGAGAAAGTCACCACAGGGGTTGTGGAGCCAGGGGCAGATTCTCCCAAGGAGTGGGGACCCGCAGCCTCCAGAGACCCCGTCCCAGGACAGACCCCCCAAGCACCCAGGCAGGTCCCAGCAGAGCCTCTCCTGGACTTTGAGGAAGTTTCACACATTTCATAGATGTTAGGGCTGGAAGGGACCTCGGGAGATCACTGGGTACAGCCCCCTGCCCAAAGTTCAATTGAACCAGAGGCATTTTGAACAAACTGTGTGAGGCTCCATGAATAAAACATGTTGGATTCCCCCACCGCCTCCCACCAGCAAAACATGTTTTCTGGTTAAACCGTGTCCAGGCAGCTCTAGCCCTCCGACTGCAGCCTCACTCCTAAGCCAGCCTCAGAGCGGTCCCAGTCCCACAGAGCCCATCCTCAAATGATCTCCACCTTGCTCCACTCAAGATGGGGCAGGTGCTGGGGGAGGTAACCCGGCCTACCTGCAATAACCAAGGGGCCCTGCTTCAGACACCGCCCTGAAGGCCTATTTCTGGCACTCAGCAGAGGAGGAGGAGGTTGCCTAGTGATCACAGGCCACTGGAAGCCACGGCTCAGCCCCCTCGTCTGCCACAGACTCCCTGCACGACCCTGGGAAAGTCACTTGACTCTGCACTTAGTTCTGACCATCCTGCCCTGCCTCCTAGGAGGTGGCGAGGCTAAACGCGTTCAGCAGGAGGAGATGCTCAGATACAGCAGCAGAGATAAGCATGGAGGGGACATGCCAGGCTCTCCTACTTACCCAGCACAACCTTCCCCTTTGCTAATGCTTGGTTAGGTTGTAAAAAAATCAGCACAGACACTACAGGCTTCCTAAAACAAACCTAGCCCTGAACCAGCCAGCCCTGCCCAGAGGAGCCAGCCTAACCTCCGAGACCAGCTCACTGCAAGCGGCGCGCGCCGAGACAGGCCCCTGCTGATATCCAGATTTTGTGCCCATTCATTTTGTCTGCGTATTGGCTTCATTCATCCAGCCTGGGTGACGTCATCGCGATGCCTCATTGGCCAGGGCTGGCTGGCACTCGAAAAATCAGCTTCAAAGGGTAGTGTAGAAGGACGCAGGGGACCCTGCCTGGTCCTCACAGGTCACCGGCGCTGGCAGCGCTAGCAGGACAACTCAGAGCGAGCAGCACTCGAGGCCACCCCCTGCTGCAAGCCCTGCATCCTGGCTATGCACTGCTGGCACCTGCACCCGCAGCAGGTAATAGGCCGGAGAGGGGCACAACTGGGGAGCGAAGCATCCTCAGTCAAGGGTGCAGCAGGCACGTTGCTCTGGAAAGATACGGCTTGCATTTCTAATCCGGCAAACGGAAAGCACTGAGCAGCTTGCAGGGTTGTAGCAATTTATAGATCCCCAGAACTGCGAAGAGTCGCTCTGCAAACAGCACTAGAGATTAGCAAATACTTGTCAAAAAGCAAATACCCACAGGGGTGCTCTTGCTGCCAGGGATCTGACACGCAGACACTGCCAGCCCCCACAGGAGTGCCCAAAAGGGCACAAACTTCAATCAAGAGCCCCTAACTGGAAACATCTTTGCTTTCTGTTGGGACCACGGCAAACCGGTGCCTGTCCCTTGTTACAGAGCCAGGGCAGGGCTTGCAAGGCTGCGGTTTGGCAAGAACAGCATTTGGGCAAGGGGGCAAGAATAAACCGAATCGAGATTGTCCCTCAGCCCTTCTCTTCCCAACATACTGAAAGCTCAAGTCTGCAACTGCTCGCTCATAGCCTCATATCACAGCACTGGAGATGACTGATTCTTTGCGGAGAGTCTAATTCAGGCACCTTCCTTGAATCCTTTTAGCTTTTGTTTTGTTTTTTCTTTGTAACATGCTCACTTTTTCAGCCTGCACGCTCTTCTATTGATCAGTTGAGTCAGGAGAGGAAAGAAATCCCTGGATGTTTCCTTGAAAAAAAAATACCTCACCTTCTAGATA